TTTAGCTTCGATATCATTATTCTGCAATAATGGCCTGATAAATACACGAATGCATAATGAGCTGGTTTTTTTTTTGTTTGTCTTACTTTACTGAGTATTTTCCAGGCATGTGCAGATGAAACACAAATTTCTTACTTACAAGGTCACGTAAAAATTGCAGGTGGGCCGTTTTTTGGTTTTCTAAGTATTTTCTATGCATGTGCAATACCAGCAGAGGAAACGCCCATTTCTTGCTTCCACTTTCACGTAACTACTACAGGGCAGTCGTCGGGTTTATGACGGACCATGACCTACTGGTATTCCATGCAAGCAGAATGGGCATTAGTAACAGTGACATATGTAGGAAGTGTAGGGAGGAAGGCCTGAATGAGTGAGATACTAAAACACTTTCTCTGTTTCTGTTCATCCTTAGCTACATGTCTTAGATATCTCGGAGTGTGCTGTACAAAATGCTAGAGGAAAGCGTTGTCTACCTATGTGATGGCTATGTAATTAAGATCGCAATGGAACTGACCTCCATCTGGCATTATAAAGAACCAATGAAAGATTGGTCAATGCCAAAAAAATGTAGAGAGCGAAATATGATGATAGCGAAATTTAATTTTTTTTGTTGAAACATTTCGGAGAATTTGCCAATTTTTGTAAATCTTAAAACACAAACATAACATAAATATATTAGAGGAAGATAATGGCGTGAAACAAAAAGACGTTTGCCGTTCGAAATACCCAGGAATTTAAATTTCAAAGTCGCCTTAGAAAATATTCTGTTCATTTTTTAAATGTTGCGAATTATCGAGAGAAAAATGGAGGAGAAACACATAATTATGTATTAATCTACATAACAAAAATTACTTAAGGCGAGTGATTTGTTAGCAAAAAAAAATTATATCAAGATGTGTTTTTGCAAAATGTACTCAATGCACTACACTCTGTGAGCAAAAAGTCAATGTCATCACTGGTATTTTAGTTATGCTTGTGTTTACTAAACGACTAAAAGTGCCTCTGTGGTTTTTGCATCACGATAATGCACACAGCACTCATTCTTCGTGATCTTTTCTCTAAAAATTTTACAAATATCGTGCCCCAACCATTCGCCGGACTTAGCACCATGTAACTTCTAGCTCTTCCAAAAACTCAAGAGACCATTTCTCTGACACCGTTTTGAGTCAATTGAGAAGATTAAGGGGCACACCTAGAGGAATGGCCTAAAAAAAAGGTGATTTTTGGGAATTATTATTAAATAAAAATATTTTATCATTTATATATGTTTCAAGAATATACAGTGAAATTTTTGAAAAATAAAATTAAATATTTTTTAAATTATAGTCGATCTCCAATGGTCGATCAAAAAGGTCCTTCACTGCTGCAGCCTTCTCCGTGGATGAAATCTAAAAAAAATTCTGGTTAAACTAGATAATATTGACTGTACAATGACCTACGATAAAAAATCAAAAATTAACATTATGGCGGCGTTTTAAAAAAAAGGTGGAATTTTACCTAAAAATTTGGCCTGCCAAAATTCGATTTTTTTAATCAGATCAAAAATCGATAGGTCATTGTACGGAGAACTATGTATATATAGAACATGTACAAAAAATCGATAGTGATCGGATCTTTTGTTTTTGGTTAATCACTGCAGCAAATTCGGAAGATGCTTTTTCGAGAAAAACGCGTTTAAAGATAAAATACCTCACGTACGTCTCGTAGCTAATGAGACTCACTAGCTGCCAAGCGGCTGCTCTTTAAATGGCTATAACTCAAAAACTATTTGAGATAACGATTTGAAATTTTAATATGTTATTTTTAAAGGTGGAATCTACGAAATATGAAAAAAGATCGATTTTTTTTTTTTTTTGAAATTTCACACTATGTTTGCGCCTTAAACGTGAATCGGTGCGCTCTCTGATGGCCATACTACAATAGAACGTGACTATTTGATATGTTTCAATAATTGGAAAAAGTGTTGGCATAAGTACATTGCATCGGCAGGAGACTATTTTCAAGGCGAAGAAATTGATGCAGAAGAATATTTAAAGATTTTTAATTTTACAAACAAATTCAAATTACTTTTTCCTCACAGAGTATTTTGTGAATTCAGTAAAGAATCCGCTTGTAAGGACTTTAAGAACAAGTAGAATTGTTCATCTATTCTTACCTTCGGTGGGGATAATAAATTAAACGCACTGCTTTTATTTCGGTACTTCTATGTTTTATAGCCTATTTTCATCGAGCACCTAAACGCATTTAAGGCCTCTGTTAAGTGTATCAAATGTCAAACGCTGATTTTTGTTTACATTTGCGGTTTGTAAAATTTATCACAATTATTGAAATCATTAATTCAAGAGTCCGCATTCATTTTATTTTTCTATTTATGTAATCTTATGGTTTGCGAGTGCAGATTATTGCTGCAAGGCATGTTTCCATTTTTACTTTTGTTTGTTTGGCGCCTCAAATTGTTTATTTCACGCAATCAGCTGCACATATTTTTATATTGAGGGGATCGTTTGCAATTCCACAATTACTTAATATATACATTGATGTTAAAACTAATGGAAAAAAGTAAGTTTTACAGAAAAAATTTCACCATGCAAAATAAAAGTCTCGTCCCTCATTAAATCCGAAAATACATGACTCTGGCAAGAAATATACCGCAACTTCCGAAATGATTACTTTATTTTGTAGTGACAGCATCAACTGTTAACAGAATATTTTCTGTTAAATTACCGAAAATGAGTTAATACACTTTTATACAACAACAAACATTTGGGAATTCACGCATTTATTTGCGATGCATTTAAGCTAATATGCATTTAACGTCCGGTGGGAATATGTTTACTATTTTAAAAACCCATCTTACACATGTTCATACGCGCAAATTCCTAACCTTTTTAAACATACGTGTATGTAAGTACTTTGTTTATTGTTGTTGACAGTTGTGTTCTTGATGGTAAATTAATTACCAATGTCCTTAGACACTTACAAATAATGCCTATTTTGTAAATTCTAAATAAACATAGTATTTTATGTATACTATTTGGAAACAAAATATGTATGTATGTATGTATGAAAAGGGTCGCTCAATGATCTTATGACACTTATGACACAAAAGATTTTAGTAAATACAATGCTGTACTATAATTTAACTGCATGCAATGTAACCCTTTGCATAGGCCGTGCCTAGTAAATATATGTATGTGAATGTTTGTATGTATACACGAATGTGATATTTGCATACATAAACCTGCCTTCTATTTCTTTAACACTTGTTGGACATATATAAATACAGGTTCAAAGGCATTTGAACCCACATATTTGCTAATTCCTTTACGTTTAACATACCAAGAAGATATTTTAGTCGCTGTGCTGGCTAATTCGGTTTTTTTTTTTCAAGCGATCATACTTGTGAATATTGATGCTGCAATTCTGGGCTACGTAAGAATTGAAAAAAAAATAAATAAATTTACAAGTATAGTTCTGTTTTTTTTTTTTTTGTGATTTGTAGTGCGTGCTGTTATTGCATCCTGTGGTCGAATCGAGTGTTTCGTGAACGTATCGGCAATCGTACGAAAGAAAATTTCGTGATACGTAAATCGTATTAAATTATAGAGAAAATACCATACGATAGCAAACGGATCGTAATTTTTTGAAAATATAAATAATTTCATGTTCATCTCGTACAATTTTGAATCAGCTTAATCTTAATCAGTGCTTAATATTCTGATAAATAGAAGCAATTATGGCCGGCGTTTTGCTTTTTTTTTTTGTTATCTTCCGTTGAAAGTGATGCCGATGAACGAGGCGATTAAGTGAACTTGCAAGTTTTTTTCGCCTGGTACTTTCAGTCGGCGTATACCCAAAATATTACGTTGAGAAAAATTTCAAATTTATGGAAAATTTATGTTTTTACACTTCCTAGCATTCGGTTTGATCTGTTTGTAGTTTTAACAAAAGAATTTGAATGTGACCGCATGAATCCAGCGATGAACTCTTTTTTGTGCCGCGTTAACTTTATTTGCATTTGTCCTAAAATAATATTTTGTATTAATTCAACAATATTTTCAATAATATTTTAAAATAAATTACATACATTTTTATTGCTTACTTGTTTGCGAAAACAATTTTGCAATTTTAACGACTGTTCTTAACTAAATACTCGATTCCACCCCTGGTTTTACCAACATCCAAAAATTACGAAAATTATGGAAAATTAGTTTAAAAAATCAAATTAAACTTCTTAATTGCGTTGGCTCCTCAGCGATGGAGATGCCAACCCTTCCGTCCGTATTTCTGACGAAAATACGCTCCTCATAAAAAAACATCAGCCGTTTGGAGGCTGTTTAGTTTTAACTGTAGGCCCACCATTTGTTAGCAAAAGACCGAGTCGCACACCACAAATTGGTGGAGAAACTCGGCAGAAAATGACTTCCAAAACTTCCAAATCGGCTACAAAGCGTAAATTATAGTATTCTACAGTTTGTGCGCGATTTCGTCAGCATGAAATTTTTTAGATGCTTCTACCATGATTTATTAGGTTTATTATATAATAAAATATATTATAATTTATAAACAAATAAGTATTAAATACGTCTCACATATTAAGCAAAGCCGAAAATTCGAATCCTTCCCAGGCTCAGTTCCCACAAGAAAAAGTGTACCCAAAAGTAATTTGAGTTCATCACTACTACTGCTCCAAGTTTTATGTAAATAAAATGATAAAATTTTACGAATAGATCGGTCCCAAATACAAAAATTTCATGTAAATCAAACGATTTTTCGAATAGCGGTCCCAGGTCCACTTGCCGGAAAACCCTTTCCTGTCGGGTGCATTAGTCGTACGCAGGACACTGCCTTTAACTTTTAGGTCTTTACGACCAGTGGTTTAAGGACAAAGCCATATATAGTATATATAAATAGTTTTTATTGTGATAAGTGTAAAAATGTAACTATAAAATGGTGTTTATATAATATTTTAATTTTATTCTTTTTTTTTAATTCTACAGAATCGAAGACTTCGAGCGTCGTCAACAGAGAGAACGCGAGAAACATAAACGTCAGCAAGTACAGAGTGTAGGCCGAGAGCATGCATTGTTTCCTGAACCACGTCGCGTTAATCCCTCCGAGGTAGACGACGACATCACCGCCAAATTAGGCGACCACTCTAAGGCCATAGAGTTTATGACCACGGATGCGGTTGGGGTTCAGCCATCCTCAAACAATGCCTTGCTTGCCAGCCATATACAAACAAGTGCCTCGTCTTCAGTCGGCGGCAGCACTGCGCCCTTGTCTGCCACGTCATCAACTTCACAGCGTTTAATATCTGGTTTGCCACCTCAACAGACTTCCCAACAGTCTCATCACTACCAACAACAACAACAACAACAAGTGCGTCAATTACCTTATCTGAAGCAATCCGATAATCAACAACCGTATAATGGACGAGGTGGCTATCCCGGACCACAAGTTAAAAGTGATATGCGTTCCAGCGGGGGCATGGCACCACCGAAGGGGCCACCACCGTTGCTACCACCACCGACTTCAACAATAACAACAAGCGGAATAAGTAGCAATATTGGAACCAGCAGCAATTCAAATACAACAGCTTCTCTATTGCCACCACCATCGAATGGCTACCTCGGTCCGCCTAAGTCAACATCTTCTTTACATAATGGACGATTTCCAAAACCATTGCCGGTTAGCTAGTAGTTTTCATTTGTTTTGTGTGGAAACAGCTTATTTAATGATCTTATTATCTTTTTTTTTTAGAAATCAATTAATGATATTATTTCAAAAGTTGATCAAACCTATCGCGCACCTGAACAAATAACCAAAATAGCCGCCACGCCGAGAACATCTATAGGAGAATACAATCTGAATGGTCCGAATCGGCATAAATATTCTGTTGGACCTATACAACCCATTTTGGGTTCACCACCTTCCGGTGTGGAATTATTAAAGAGTCCCATGCCTATAACATCAATATCAGCTGTGTCTGTTCCGTCTAACCTCCCCGTCATATCAAACGCTTCTGCGATACCATCTATTGGTAGTAGCAACACATCCTCTATTTCTACTACGGAGGTCACAACAGTGATGGCAAATGCACCGTTAACGACGACGGAAATGAGGTCAGTGATGCCCATGCTGAAGCAACCAGTGAAACCATTATTGGACAAAGTTGGGCCAACGTTAGAGAAACAAAACTCCACGTAAGGAAATTTTATATCTTATAATATAATAATTTAATAAAAATTAATATTTTGTAGACTTGAGAATGACTTAGAACTTTCAGAATCAGATGATGATCGCCGAAAGCAAAGGTAATATAATCAACTGAAAGATAAAAATGTTCATATGAGTAAGTAATAATGATTTATTTTCATATAGTCGGTCAGTGCATAACTCCAGTGATAGTTCGCCGTCGGATTCTAGCGAGTCTGGGAGTGACGAATCCTCAAAAAGCGAACATCAGCGTTCGACTGCAATCACCAAGCATCCACAACAGAGTTCTGCACAACACCAAAAACTGAACGCTCTTCACACCATGCAACAACAACAGCCGCCAGTACAACAGCATCAACCCGGACGGCCAGTGATGAATAAATCTATCAATGATAAGGTGAAAGTTATCGAGTCACTAGGTACCGCCCGATCAAATATTTACCTGAATGCTAATGTGCTGGGTTCGGCAGGTTCATCTAATTCGGGCCTAAATTCTACTTCATCTTCCTCCAATAAGACTCCGTCGCCTTCAGACTCGAGCAAATGGAACTTGAGCCGATATTTTAATAAAAAACCGGCTCAAGCACAAAATGACACTCCACCACCAGTTAATTCACTGGTAGTCAACTCCATCAATGTGAGTATGGATGAGCCAACACTATTACCGGGTGGTGCACAAATAATACCTGAAGCAACACAGTCACAGCCTAATACGGCGATTGTCAAGCATGAAACTACCTACGTAACATCGGTAAGCGAATTGTATTTATATTTTTTATTATATTTTAACTATAGCTGTTTCTTCATACATTCAAATAGAAAAAGTTCTCTAACCGGAGTGATGATGGTGATGAGGGAAGTGCCGCCGAACACACTAGCGATGTGCGTAACGTAACGTCGAATTTGAGCAATATTAAATCAAATGCAAGCGGCAGTGTGCCAGCACTTTTGAATGAGATAAAGAAAGAGTCAGATATTCTTTATCCTACCCCTCTGTTGAAGGCGACATCGTCGAACACTTCACAAATACATGTCGTATCCCAACAACAACAACAGCAACAACAACAATCCCAAGTTCCTCTACTTAACGCTGCTGAATTTGTTGCGATACCAACGAGCCAAATAAAACATGAAGTTCCTGCTTTGCCATCAGCATCAACATCCACTGTTGCACCAATGTCTTTAGCTGGCGGTACAACTACCGTAACGCCTTACAGCACTTCCAGCATTAAAGCTAGTGGAAATGGGCATAGACGCACACCTTCGGTATCACCACGTTTACGTAATAGTGTTACAACTGGTCCAAAGATAGGTGAGTTTGGGTGTGTTGGTCAATTATCGGCACCTTCCAGCGATGGTCATACGTCTAACAGCAGTGACGATGAGAACCAAATTACGGCATCAGCGAGATCTACCGTACCGACGTTGGGCCCTGGCGGTACATTAAAAATACCTGGTGTACCTGCTGCGATAACTGCATTGCCGCCTTCTCCGCCGCAACCGATGGGGGCACCACCCACAATTCCCAATTCTATAACAGTAATGCCTATCAACTCCCTTACAACAATAACATCAACGCGCCGACGAAAAAAGCCCCGTAACTCCACAACCACCATAACACATCTCGACACTAGTGACGAAGAAGAGATAGCAACAGCGACACCAGATTTTAAAAGTAGTCATGTGACAGTGAGTCCAGTAGAGCTACGTGCAGCAGCTGGCCCTGGTGGTAAATTATACTCTGAGCCAGTACCAATGGTAGCAGTGAAAAAGGGACCAGGACGGCCACGAAAAGTCACAGGCAGTGGAAAAATAACTAATGCTTCTTCCAGTGTTACGGCTGGAAAGGGACCAAAATTGACAGCAACTAAGGATGTAGGGAATAGCAGTACATTAGTTACTAAAAAGACGACTGCTAAGCGGAGAGTTTCTCGTCAGAACTCCAGTTCTGTTCAGAATTTATCATCGAAATCTAAAACACAAATTCAAATGTCGTCTGTAACCCGCGCGCCTAGCGTTGACTCCTCATCATCTTCTTCTACTTCCAATTCAACTTCTAAGTCATCCAGTTCCTCGTCGTCGGAAACAGAAGCTGAAGATGGCGTCATAAGCGGATCATCATCTGATAATGAAAACGATAGTATTTCAAAAGGTCTTGCGACTAAAAAACGTAATTCATCAGCAGAAACAGGGAACAATGCTCCGGCATCTACAAGCCGCATTATTGTGCAGTTGAATAAGCGCAAATCTTCTCACGAAGATAACCTATCATCTGCCACAACATCAGTTGCATCTAGTGGAAAGTCAAAAACAGCAGAGAGTGGCAAGCGGAGGCGAACCGCGTCACAATTCACTCAACCCCATGAAGAAGCCGACAGTGACGATGATTTATCCGATTCTGGTTCTGGCTCATATGACAGCTCTGTGAGGAACTATGTTGGAACAACAGCCAATAGCAGTTCAAATATGCCGACAACAACTCTAGCAGCTAATTCCACTGGTGGCAGTTCACACCGCTCGCAGAATTTGCAGTCGCCATATAAAGTGCCCATTCCAGCTGCCCTTGTGTCGAGCTCTTCATCTAGCTCCAGTAACGTTTCATCTTCATCATCAAGCAGCAGCAGCGGAGGTGAACACTCTGACACAGAACGTAATGCATCTCTTAATAATCGTGTTAAAGGAAAGCACGTGAAGACTAGCGCTAAAGTCGCAGTTAGTGTCAACAGTGGTTCAAATAGTGCACGACTGCGTCGTGACAAGCCTAAAGCAAGCGACAAGAACAAAAATGTAACGCTCACGCGTATCTTCAATCCGAAAGAGGGTGGTGCGAAAAAACAGGGTCAGGTACTGGTCATCGATGAACAGCAGCAACAAAAGCTGATATCTCCGAATTCTTGTAATTATCGAACGGCAGCTACCGGTAGCTCAGCGTTATCCGCTAGTCAAGAGAATCTCGTTGCGGCTGGTACGGTTGCTACGCTGCAATCGCCACGACTCACTCCTGGTCATATTAAATCGCCACGCGCAGCACCACAACCTGTAACGGCTGGATCGCATCGAACGCCTGATCATAGTAGTCGCAGTAGTGCCGAACGTAAAGTACAGCAATCGCGCATTAAAACGCCGTCCTGTACTCCAACACGTACGTCTACACCCACTCCGGCTGCACTGCTTTCAGCACCGACTGTCTCGCCCATACGTACTGTAACAACACCAATGCCAAATTTCCCTTCACTTATATGCAAAGTTGATTTATCCCGACTGCAACGAATACTGCCTGAGTGGCGGACAAACACCTATCGACTTTCTAGCATGGGCCCGTCCCCAATGACTCGTTACGCTCATCACGAGGCAATATTAAATGCTGATTTGCAAGCAACATCAGCACTTGCGACTGGTAATAGTGGGAATATCACCCCATATAGCACCGGTAATAGAACCCCCACTACGCCCCAATGTCCACCCGATAGAGAGCTTTCTCGCTCTCGCGAAAGTTTGGTTGGAATTGGCGTTGTTGGAAATAAACAAAGGCTGAGCTCAATGCATTCAAACGGCCGGATGAGCAGTCGTTCTACTGATGGTGCCGGCAGCGATGGCACAATGCCCAAAGATCCTGCACAGCGTACACCAAATGGATACACATCTGTTGCGAATGTATCGCTGGCTTTTGAAGCCAATAATTCGCCATCAACAAAACAACTGCTTAAACGTGAGCAACTAATCAAAAATGAGCCGGGCTCTGAGTTAGACAGTGCAGCTTTGGTTACAGCAGCAAAAACTGACGCATACTGTGCCGAAACTAAGTTTAAGACCAGCGGATCAGTAAAAGAGGAGCTTATAGTGCATAAACACGACTTTAAACCTGGACTACCAACAAATGCCTTTGTATCAGCCGAAAAGGAAGCTGATCGGCTAGGGACCACGCCGCCATCTCAACTGCGAATAAATGATATAACGGAGTCAAAGTCACGCCGAAAACGTAGCGCCAGTTCCAGTCCATACAAAGAGAAAAAGCGGAAAAAAGATAAAACGGAGAAGTATTCGAAGGATGGTAAAGAAGTTAAGGAGGGTAAAGAAAGCGTCGTAATACCTAACCCAACAAACAGTAAAGACAAAGAAAAGGACGTTGGGAAGTCAATTGGTGCTATTGAACGTGATATTGAAAATAGTGCGGACATTAGTTGCCGTGGGATCGCGGTAATTCCAGCCCAAGGCACAAACAACAGTGAACATACGGAGGTGAATATCATTAGTTATAGATATGGTAATATTTATTAGAATTATATAATAATAATTTTATTTTTATTTTAGAAGGACCAACCTAACGATATTAATAGTCGCCAGTTGCCTCATACTAACCATGATCGATTATTGGTCGATCATCAACTACATCGGCAACAACAACACCAACAGCAACAACAACAACAACAGCAAAGTGCTTCTTTGAACTACTCGGCTTTTCCTGCGGACTTACAAACGTCAAGTAATAACATAATTGTACCAGCAATTGGGGATGTTAATACTGCCAGCACAGCGCCATCAGGCAGCGGAAGGGCTCCATTGCTTCCTCCACCACAAGTAATATATCGATCGTATTTTGAACGTGATGACGATGGTGTTTGTGATATTAGGTAAAATATTTTAATTCAATAAATATTTATTTTTCTTCTTTAATAATCTCTAAACATTTTTTTTGTTTTTTCTCCACTTCAGCAAAAATTCAAAATTCCTACAGGAAGCCGTTAAACGTAAGCACGCAGCCGACAAGGAACAAAATCTTTTCAATCAAGTAACGTTGTACTTGGAAGCGGTGACTTACTTTATACTTTCCGGTGCTGTGTTAGAACAGCATCGCAACTCAGAAGACGCAAGTTGGGTCATGTACAAGGACACTCTGAATTTAATTAAGTGAGTAAAGTGTGCGAAAGAAAAATGTGTACACTTGAAATATATATTTATATAAGAAATTTTTCATTATTGCAATTTGTTTACATTTTAGATTTATTTCTTCAAAAATTAAACACTTGCAAGTTTCATCAACGGCAAATGAACTGCATGAACCTCACAATAAAGTCGCTATCTTAAGGTAAACTTATAAATTTGCGATTCCCCAATTTTATAATTAATATTTACATTTTTTTTATAGTCTTCGTTGCCAATCATTAATTTCATTAAAACTCTATAAACTGAAGCGACATTATTGTAGAAGCATCATCAATCATTGCGCTGATCTTTTAAAGAGCGGTCGGATGGAAGTTATCAACGGTAATACGCTATCATCGAATTCGCCATCAAACTCCGTGTGCTCGCAGGTAATTCATTAAATTGTGTTTATTATTGCCAATGCTATAATTATTAATAGTTTTATTATTATTAGTTATAAATCTATTATTATAGTTTTTATGATCCTTATGTGGGCGTAATGGCTTTTTTCTGTATTTTGTTCAATTTAAATTTTACAAAAGTATTAACAATTCTAATTAAGCTTCTAATAACGCAAAGTATTAGACTTTATGACATGTGGTATTGCAACTTCCTTAGTTGGTTGGTTGAAAGTAGAGATTGAAAACCTGACAGCAAGCGGCCGCTTCCACGCTTATCCTAACTATGCTTTTGGAACATTTCGTTCGATTTTATAAAGTGGGGTGTAAATAATCTGTCAATACATCCACAAGAATACTAAGTTCTCTTTTGCTTAATATAAGTAACTGTTTGGTATGTCTATAATGCCTAGTGTCCCATAAACATTTGGTGGTACATCCTACAACCAGCGACTTGGGCTTTTCGCCATGGTTCACTGTTTTAGACAACATTTTATTGCCCTGAAAGGTCTTATGCAGTCGTTGGTATCAACCAGCTTGCCCGCCATTGCCTTATATATCCGTGTGTTATTCATTGTTTTTATCTACGATATCCTGTTAATTGCCTCTTTACCTATTCTTACGAATTTGGACAAACCTAATTGTTTCTTAGATGTCTACCGGAATGATAGATTTTTCTATTAAAGTGGTTTTACATTTGGTAACTTCAGTGCTTGAAAAACGAACTTGTAGTCATTAAGTTTGAAACTACTTTGGCTATTATGGTGGTCTTAGGAGACCCTTCTCCCTGCGCTTACTTCACATATGGTCCTATCAGTACATATATAGATATATCCACTGCCTTCCACCCATTATTCCCTGCTAGGGAAAGAGTATGTGGCTTCTACCCGACAAAGTTTCAGTTTCTTGGTCCGTATTTTACGTTTAGTCCCAATTGGTAATTAATTTTCTGAATACTGCTATGTCCTTCACAATTTGGGGACGGGACCCATTTCACTTACCAGCCGTCCATAACTGCTAGGAGCGGCGAAATGTTGCCAGCTGCCAGTGTGTTTGCACACTTTTGAACAAATTCATAATTTTCGTCAACGAATTTCATAATTTATGTGCTTAAATATAAAGGCAAGACAAATATACATGATCTATATGGTAACAAATAATTAGTTACGCATTTAGTTTTCATTTCTTTTGAAAAAAACTACGCATTATCCTCGATTATTTAATGTTGCTTTAAGAAAGGCTTTTATACTACTTGTATTACTATGGACGGCTGGTACGTGAGTTGGGTAGTTGCAGCATTAGGTGGCTAGCTGTTATTGCAGCTTCATACATCTCGTATGTTGTTAATGTTGCCTCTTAGAGATGGTGGGTGGCCAATCGGCTGCGATTTCAATTTACTCGTATCGATAGTCGGTCGCATATTTGCCAGAGGATAGGATGACAAGATCTTAATAGATAAGCTCACACATAATGCCCCTTTAAGCCTTTCTCTATTTCAATTTTTACACACAGATACGTACATAAGCACAATCTTAAGGGGAGTTTATAGTTAAGCGCACCGTCGAAAAAGAGCCAAACATGCGCCCCTATGGCTTGCGTTTGGTGAACGAAAAAGCTTATTTTGGCAATTATTTTGTGTTTTTCATAAACATTAACATAAAAAGGAGGTTTATTTTCGGAAAATAAAACTAGTTTAGTCGTCATCCGGAAATCTCCAAAATTTACCGACTGATTGACTGAAAGACACATGCGACAAAAGCGTCTGTTGTTGTTGTTGTTGTTGTTGTAACCGCAAATTATTCCCCGAATTGGTTTTCGGGGAATATTGCGGGAGTGACAGTCCTTGGCCGTATAAAAAATCCGGGTCGTTCCGGTATAAAGACCCGACTGTCGCGGGAACTATTGGATTTTAGTCGCCTCTCACGACAGTCATGCCTTACCACGGGTAAATTCTTGAGCCCCTAACCCGCAGGTGCGGATGTAAGCGTATCTATTGTTTTGGTGGCTTTTTGCTTAGATTAACAGAAAGACTACTCTTCTTTCTGGAAAGTGAACCACGGCCGAACTAATGAAAAAATGGTATTTATGGTTTGATTTACTTTAAAATCGGTACATCGGAGACTTTTTGTTTAGGTTAATAGAATTATCAATAACCTCGTTCCGGAAAACAGACAGACCTACCTCTGTCAAAAATCTTCTTTTAACTAAACATTTTTTTTTAGGGGAAATGGATTGATCTGTTTGAAAAAATATAAAAAATCATGGTTGGATTTGGTTAAATTTTCGTATGATATGCCTAATGCTGCAAATACCCATTTTACATACCGCACAGCCATAACACCCGACTGTAATGGAACATACAAGCAAGAGAAGTTTTGCGCGACAACCGTCAGCAACGGCATCGACAAGTGGTGACAACTTTTCATTTACATGGCGCTCTCATTAGATTGGTTGCTATGGATGGAAGGTTTGTAAGATGGGTAGTTGAAGCATAAATGGAATACCTTTGCTTCCTGCAAATGGACCAGAGGCCTCGCACCAAGTTCGATTTCCTCGAAATATAATAACACCTTTTTACGAGAAAGTGATCACTGATAGATTAACAAAAATTAGTATGATTTGCATGTAAGCTTACATCGTTCGCAGGTATAATGCTGCGGGTTACAAGCTATTCTTATACGTTTAATTGACATTTTCGTAAAATACTTTGAGCAGCAAAAAAGTGACCCGGTAGTTAGTTGTAAGATAATAATGAAAAAAACTTAATATTTTGACTTCAATGTTGCTTCGTTAGGGTTTTTATCGTTCTTTGCCATACCAATTATAATAAAAATAAGATGAAATACATGAAGCCAGAGCAACCGTGTCTACTAGTTTTTATAAAAAAAAATGTCTCTAAAACTTAACAAATCATGAACATAAGACGTTTTCAAGGATCACTATATAATAGTGAAAACAATGAGAGGTACTTAAAATTTGATCCCAGTCAACTCTGCACAGTTGACGATTTCTTACGGGAAGCCTTTATTTAATGCTAATATAAATATCCCGAAGGTATTTCTGACATGAAACAAAGCTCCTCATAAAAGTCCCTCGGACGTTCGGAGGCAGCTTAGCATAAACTGTAGGTCCCTCTATTTGTTAGAAAAACATTTATTATTATTATTATTATTATTATTATTATTATTATTATTATTATTATTATTATTATTATTATTATTATAATTTTTATTGTTTTTAATGTCGTTGTTGTTGATATTAGAATTACTATTTTGAGAAAAAGAAATCCATTATGATTTTGATATACCCCATAAGTATCAAGCAAAAAATTTTTCATGCTCGTTGTCAAGGTGATTTGACCCAAAACGAACGTTTGTTGTTATTTGTTTGGTGCATTCAGTGGTCAGTTACAGAGTGTTACGGATGGAAGTCAACAAAATGTAAATATTTTTCTTACTGTTACTGGCACCCAAACATCGAGCCTATTAATTTTTATTTGAAATGGATTTATTTTTCTCTACCTAATATTGTTTTTTTGTAGATATTAACGTGGTAAACAATTTATGTTTTTTTAGGGGTCTGGTTCAAACACACCTCCAGGACGCGTTGTGCGCCAAGATACGCATACGACACTAAGTCATCAAAATTTATACTTTAACTACTTAGCTAACTGTCATGATTTGTGGGACCAGGCGGACCGACTTGTGCGTCAGGGTAACCACACTGGTAAGTTGTAGATATTAAACTTGAAGGAAATCTTCTATTTACTATTTCTATTTTTTATTTAAACAGACTTTTTTATTGCTTTGGATCATGAAAATGGACCCTTAACGCTACATACCTCTATGTATGATTTATTTCGTTACGTACAATCTGGTCTTAAAAAGCTGAAAAGCGCGAATATAACGGCCACAACAAATGTAAATAATACAGTAACGATGGGCAACAGTGGTGGGAGTGGCGAGCCGTCAACTGACAACTCATCTGTAATAAATTCTGCTGCAGGTAGCAACACTATTACAATAAATACCATCACCACTACGAACAAATGCAGCAACATCTTAAGTAAATTACAACAAAAACCACAGTAGGATAATATAATTTGTAGTTCACACTTGGATATACATGAATATATATATATATATATATATATATATATATATAAATTCATCATTATTATGTATATATTTTTGTATCAGTGTTGTTCTTTTTTATAACCAAAAAAAACAGAACACCTCCGTTGCCGCAAATAGAGAATGCGGATGCATTTCTTCTTCTAACTTAGTGTTTAAGCATTAAAATTATTTGTATATACATACTATATAAAAGCATGATTTATTAGTAAAACAAAGTGTTAAAATTTCTAAACTTATTGTTTTTTATTTTAATATATTTATATTATTGCTATTACACTATTATTTCAAATATTTTCATTATTATTTATAGTTTGTAAATAAGTAATGAAGAAATAATGCTCTTCATTTTTGTCTTATAACAACATAAAATAAACAAAGTTATTACATAACAAATTATTTGAAAATCGACAATTGGGGAAAAATTTACAAAGTGTGCCGTGTTTACATTTCACATTGAGGGGAAGATAATGTGATTTAATAGAACTAAAAAAAATGTTTTTTGTATTTTTTTTTGCCTGCATTGAATGAAATGCTTTGCTTAGCAAAATTGTACAAAGAAAAGTAATATAATATAAACAAGAGCCGGGAGGTTAAATATAGTACATATATATTTTATATAATGTGGAAGTGAAATTCGCAGCAGGACGCTGCAGAAGGATGTTACATAAATTTTATTCTTTTGCACAGGCTGAAAAAATTTGTCTATGTAATATTTACTGAAACGTTGTACATTCAATCAATCAATCTCAGCTAAGTAGATACAATCTGTATTTAGTATCATATATATATGTACATGTAAATTTATTATATTTGTATATCAGAACCGATTTTATTTATGTACTGCCGTTGTAGCTGCAACTACCCAACTCACGTACCTTCCATCCATAGCAACCTATCTTATGAGAGAGCCATGTAAACACAAAGTTGTTACCGCTTGCCCATGCCGTTAGTGACGGTTGTATCGCAGAAAACAACGACGACTTGATTTTTTCCATAAAACCGGCTGGGCTCATTTCTCGTTGCTATACAAGGTTGCCAGTATAGGCTTTTTAAAGTAATATTAAATGTAAATGTAAAATGGGTAGTTGCAACATAAGGCCCAAAATTATAGAAACACTTTTTCTAAATATTAACGCCACTTGGTAGAGAATGTCATCGCTCTGAGTGTATTTCTGAAATGAAATGAAAACTTTCCCTCAAATTGGAGGGACTCGTTTAAGCGGCTAGCATGCCACAATTATATCAAAATATATAATATGTATATGTATATGACTTAGTGTGATTATAATTCTTTTGGTGAGGATTGGTTGGTCTGTTAATCAAAAACAAGTAATGGAAATATTTACAATTTTTGTTGTTGCTAAAAAAAAAATCAAATGATACAATTTGTTACAAATACTAATATTTGCCTACTATAAAGAGTAATGTCGTTAACTTCTTAAGCGAAGTGTGTTAAAAACGTAAATATAATGTAACTGATCAGCTTAAGATCCCCATCTAAATAAAATCCCTCAGATTATATCAATGATTTTTCCATTCTATGCCTTTTGGTATTATTCAAGTTTTAAGCAACTTAAGCATTGTTTTTGTTGTTATTGTAACCGCAAAAGTTTTCCATAAAGTAGTTTTTGACAGAAAAACACGGATCATTTCGGTAAACTCATAGAATACAAAAAAAGTAGAAAAGAACAGACCTGTGTCGGTAAGTTTTTTTTTATTTGACTTAAATTTGTCACAATTATTCTCACGAAAATTTTTGTAAGAAATTTCTGCTTAGCATGCATTTTCTAGACTAAACGAATACCCCCTATTGTAAAATATGATTATCGATGAGCTGATGGGCAGTAACAATTGTTATCAGTTTGTATTTAACCAATTTCTGCAGAGCCGCGGTTCAATGAAACAAAACGCCAGTAATATTTGAAAGGGGAGAGCGCAAACTAATCACTAGGTTACTGAAATTTCTCCCCAAACACAGCTAATTCGTAAATCTAAAACATTGGGTTTGACTTTATTTCCCAAATTGTTTTCTTCATACATTTTATTCCTATTTCAATGCAAATTTTATTTTTCGAAATTATAATTAGTGCTTCTAAACTTTTAATGTGCATTAAAATTAATCTGTTTGTAAAGAGCGCATTCAAAACGTTTACACAAGTATCCAAAAGTTTTACTTATTCTTTTTATTAACTAATTTTTGTTGGCAAGCGAAATTATTAAGTTATTGCAAGCAGAAATCTAATCATAGAAATAAAAAAATAAAACTTCAAGCTATCAGGCATAATGTGGATTTCATCCTCGAGTAAAAGATTGAATTACTACAATTTAATCAATTTAATTTCGAAAATAAATAACATCCGAAATGATAAGTTTATTTTTCGAATTTCTTTCATTCCAATTCTTCTAATCCTTTTGAAATATTTTGTGGTTAATTTAAGTCGTAAATATTTTTTATGTATATTTATTTTTAATTTTTTAGTTATTGGGAGTTCGAAACGGCATAAAATTACTTTATGTCTTGAAACACAACGTTATCGGTTTTATGTTCGTTTTTAGGCTTTCTACTCTAATCCTTGCACCTTTTGGCTTAGATTTAATATTTTAATTTGAAGAGTTATGTATTTATTTTCAAGGTTATAAGCAGCGAAATTACTGTATCTTATTTTCCTCCCAACTCTACACATTTATGATTTTACGTCCACTTATTTTTGTTTGAACCATTGAACAGCTCAAAGCGAATTCACACACGGTAGTAGCAAGAATAAAAAATATCAAAAGACTCTATTTTATTTGTCTTATTATAGTTTCGAAAAATCAAAAACGAAATTTCTTCAATGTATTTTGTTTTGTGTAATCGAACGTTCGAAATGTCAAAAGCTATTGCTCATGTAATTTGTTGAAATGGAAAGAAGAACAAGCAATCATATGATGTGACAACTTCACCTTTTATAAATTTGCCATAGAACAGCTGTTTCAAAAAAAAAATTTTTTTAATTCGAAAAGAGCAAAAGCAATACGAATTGATGATGCGAAATAAAAATAATATCGGTTTGCAATTCCGACAAAAGATTTGTGCTAGTTACAGTACGATCAACTTCATTTTCAACTTAATGCTCAATTTTATTTCATACTACTAATTATGTCAAAACATTTTACACCAATTCAGTATCTTTAATTAATTCCTAATAGATTTAGGATTGAAATTTTTATAAATAGTTCTTTTTTTTTGTAAAAGTCAAATTTGCAAAATAAGTCATATTTCCCTATTGAGCGGACGGACAATAAAAATGCAGTAATTGAAGACTTCTTTAGTTACATAATTTCTGACGTGTTCCGGATTATCGCCGAGGTTCGCTTTGAAATTTTTTGGCAGCCTTTCCTCTATTTTTATCCACTACATCAACTCCTGTTTGGACTCGGGATCATACTGACGAATCCGAGTTTGATCTACAGTCACATTGTGATAGCAAATTTCATCTAAATCATCTTGGCACAACTCCAAATCATCGCTGCTTGTCGAGCAAACCTAAACACTAATTTTTTTCATATTTAAATGATTAGACAAAATCTCTCCAGCTCGTTCTGTGCTAATCTGTAATCTTTCGGCTACATGTCTGCCACAATTTAATTCTTCGATCAGACGGTATTATTTTTTGGACTTTATGAACGATTGTCACTGGGCCCCCCAGCGGTGTTCATCTTCACATGTCTCTCTTCCTTGTGTAAACAGCCGAGCCCATTTTTTCACCATCGTATATGAAGGGACAGAGTCCTGAAGAATCGATGACATCTCTTTAAAAATTTCTTTCGGCGTAATTTATTCTTTTTGCAAGGGATCTAATAAAATTGTACTGTTCCGAATTGCGAGAATTTCCAGTTTCTGTTGACATAGTTTTGTTGCTTGTTTCAAGAACAAAATGTTTATGAACTTAATAATAAAAAAAATTGTTGTTTATACTAATAATGAGTGCCCCAATTAGTGATATCAGTAAAGATATGATGTGTAGTCTCTAACTACCTTAGGTCGAGACTATCATGTGCTCCTCGTAATAGCCGGACAGCGTCTAAAAATAATCTTGTTCGGTGAACTCATGGTTTACTGGCTCATCATATGTATCGAGAGAACGCAATTTTGATATTTAGGTGCTGCCTAATCTTACTGATATTCCTCGCCGAGCACAGATAAAAATTACTAATTATTATTATTAATAAATCTTAAGTTGTTTGCATTAAATTATTTGCGATTTGCATCAATAGGAAATCGACTGATGATTTCCTGACATGGGAATCTCTTCCATTCTTCTCAACGTGGCTGCTAATTTCAGCACAACAACTATGGTTGTTGGCGTCACTGAGGGTCTTATATGGCTAATAATATTTTCAAATGCTTATTTATCCTGTTGAACGAAATGAATGTATAAATAATCAGATGTCGTACGTTTCATGCGTCTGTAAATACACTTGACCTGGATCTGATATAATCAAGGCATTTGAGTGATTTCCTAAAATTCAACGTGCAATTTTCTAATGTTATTTTTAATTATTTCGACAAATTTAAACAGAAGAGAAATTTAAAGTTCGAACCTGGAAAAAATCGAGTAAATTTTATCCCACCCCAAAACAAATGGTGCGATTGGCGATTTCAGTATCGATATCAAATCACGCTATTTCCTGCACATGCCGGTATATTTCCATTTTAGCGTTAAGGAGTGAATTCATTTTACGCAATGCGATCAGTGTTATCAACATTAATTTACAGTAATGTTCACGTTATATGTTTCTAAAAATATAATTTTCAGGAATAGATCTCTTAGTCATCCAGCGAAGAGCTAAGTTGGTAACAGAAAATGACCACATGTGTTTTACGAAAACGAAATAAATGCGTATCTTCTGCTACGTAGTAGTCTGCGTTAAATTCAATTTGAGATCCAACGATATTCATATGAATAGATGTTTATATTTCATTTGGCATGATATAGTCGTCCGATTGCAGTGATCCCTAATATTAGTATAGAGTAGCAATTTTTATGTTTTTATTTGTTTAATTCACAGTGTAAGAAATTGGAAGTGAATGGTATTGAACTGACATATTGCAATAGTCCGGTTCGGTCAGCCGATGGGCGTAACACTTTTTACCAATTTTTACTGAATCGTCGCCGAGTCAAAAAGCCGGTAGTACTTGCACCGGGAGAGCGTGATTTTGACATTTTATTACTGGCTAGTTCACCGATCAGAGGT